ACTTAAGACAGACAGTGAGCTAAGATAAAAGCTAAGCAGAAGAAGTGCAGGACGAATACCCTTCATAAAATAACGAGACGATTTTCCAACGTTTACACTGCGTTGTCCGTGATAACGACACCTCCAATTCCGATGCGTTTTCTTTTCGTGTAGAAAAAAACGAGAAGCAACAGATTATCGGATGTTACCCAATTATTAAAAGAACAGAGGAGACCAGTGTGTTAGACTTGCATGAACGCTTATGTCGAATTATATGCATGCGAGATGTCTAAAACTGAGAAGTTGGCAACTGCATCGGTTGTGAGAGAAACGCGTTGATAACGCAGCAGTATTGCGTGTTTTCGACTTAAAAATATTTCTTTACTCTTCCAAATAGTTTCTGAGATAGAAAATATCCGCGAAGACTTGCGTGAACAAGCTCGCGTTTTATCACGTGTTCATTTCCCTTCCAGTTTAGTGCTGTCTGTCGATCCATCGTTGACTTTTTCTTCAGTAGCCGAAATGGTGGGCTTATGTAGTACTGACTAAATTCTGTCAGTTACAGTCAGTCGAAATCTACAACTGATAAAATGCAACGAATTAAGCTGAGTATTTTTTAGGCATTCCCTCTAATAGCAGTATCGGGAAACAGCACGTTATATGCCTCCAGATTGCTTGGGCTGGACAGTGTGCTTTTACTCTGTTTGTGTAAATCCATGTCATTGGCAGAATGCGTAAAAAACAGTAATTTGTGATGTGCGAGTGAATTTTTTTGCTTTCAGAAATTGTGGAGAAATTACAACAGGAAGTTGGCGTCCTGAAGCAGAAATGCATCCTTCTAGATATGGTTAACTGCCCAGAGCATAACTGCTATGTTAGTCTTTTCTTAATCCAGTTCAGACAGTTTTAATACTCAGCTGCTGGGAAGTTTTCGATATGATTTCGTCATTTTGGCATGAGGGTCGTTTCGAGAAATCAGTGGAAACGTTTGCAGGTACCCGTGTGCGGTCTCCCTTTGCAACGTTCGGATGTACCACTGACTGTTAGTGTGGAGAATTATTGTGAAGAGCTTGAAAATCGCTTAACTGGGCGGTTCTTTTCTCCACGATTAGCCGTAACGATGTTAAAATGCGATTTGGAAAGAAGTCTCATTGCCACGGTAAATTATTTTGCTATGATCTACATTTCATTCACTAGAATTTTAATTCAGATTTGAAGCATACGCGATTTTTGCTTTCTGAGGCGTAATATTACAGAGCTATGATGAGAATTACAACATAACTAGGATGTAGGGTGAGGGGTGGATATATGTATATATATACATATATATATATATATATACATATACACGTATATATGTACATGCGTATACATGTATATATATGTATATCATGTATATACGGCACTGGCAAGAGGAGTGACGGAGGTGGTAAATTAG